TCCGATTTGGTAAGAATCATAACGAATGCAAGGCCGGAAAATGAATAATAAAATTCGGGAGAAACTTACTATCACTTGATCATCATAGTCACCATCAGAAAGTTCTTCCAAGTCGAAGTCATCATCGCTTTTGGCACCAAGACTAACCTGTCGCAACCTTAAATGTAAAAATATTTCGAGATTGAAAAGGTCGACTCAATGGCTCAAATATTTAAAAAGTCTCATTTTCACAAATGTCGAAACGAAAAAGTCTGTGAAAAGGAAAACATTCTTCTGACTCGCGAGTTTTCCAAATACACGAATTCCGCGCACTTGCATCGAATGAAAGCGCTTCATATGAATGAGTGCGATCGTTCTCTGTCAAACAATCGCGTAGTATTCCAGAAGACCTTTGCGGAACCCGATGACACCACAAAACGAAAGATATGACTAAGCACGCCGGTGACAATTTTCAAATTTGTGCGCACATTAGTGAAAAATGGAATGCTAAGAGGCAAACTCCCTTTGGTAAGTGTTATCCAGCTTCTGCTCGGAGATTCAACAAACTCATCTGGGCAACGTTGTTCATATAACGGAAAATTTCTTTCTGTCAGACTATATGAAATCCAATCCAAGTCATTCGAAAAGTAGGAACAGTTCTGAAGCAAATTCCTGTGAACTCTACTTTCGCTAGACTCGGGGGTCTGATCAGCGCCCTAGCGCCCGCTGTGCTGCACCTATGATCATTTCCAAACCTTTCACTGCTTGCAATACATGGGGGCGGGTGGGGGAGAGGATTTCGTCATCATTAACCAACAACTTGTTTCAGCAATTGAAAACAGTAAACAGTAGTTCAGAAACGCCACCAACCGCGGGGTAGAGGGGGCGAAAGGTCAACAAGGAAAAAACTTTTGGCAACCCGGCAAACTTTTCTCAGAAGCAATTAGGCCCCCCTCTCCCTCTCCAAACGACGAGCAGATATGCTTTCTTCCCAACTGGAGTTTCTAAAAGTTAAAAACTGAAAATGTGCCAAAAACTCTATCGAGTGTAGAACACGAAATGTTGTTTTGCTTTAGGATATTCGGAATGTATCTCTAGGTGACAGTTTAAAGTTTTTGACACGTCTAGTTAGGAACAGAATGATAGGGCTACCGATTTTCGATTTCCAACCTCAAGTTTGAGGCCCAAAGTTCAATTAACGTTACCGCAAACACTATAAGGCTCCCCCCCTTTACTTATAAAAGTGATGTGTGAGAACTAACAACGTACCTCTTCCTGTTATCATTTTCTTCCGGAGTATCATCATCCCCAATCTCATGAAGTTGCTTTCTTGCTTGGGCTATTATTTTCTCAGATAGATTGTTTGGAATGTACTGAAAACGAAGACAAAAACTCCAGCCAGGTCTTTTTCAAAAGACAGGAGATCAAGAAAACAAACCTCTTCTGTTTCCAGTTCCGGCTTTCTTTTCCTCTTCTCTCTTGCTTCCAAACGAGCTTTCGCTATCTTCGCTCCTTCAATTTGCTGCTCCAAAGGGCCTGGAGCTGGGATGAGATCTCCTTTATTAGACTTTTGTATAGCTTTCTTCTTTCCCATTTTTGACTGAAAACTGAAACAGTGAAGAGCAAGTCGCGCTAAAGAGCAACGAGATAACTGTGCAGTCTAATGGAAACTGCAGATGAAGCGACTCATCAATTCAAGAAATTCGTCAACTCGTATTCGGAAAACGTCGTGAACTAAACTGATAGACCAAGCCATCTTCATATTGAAAGATCCTGTATTCTGAAAGTCCATAAGAAGAATGACTTAGTGCCGAAATGAAGAACCCGCATATTCCGCGAAATTGGAAGGATCGGCGAAATCGCCTGAGAGGACCTGACAGAAATTTATTAGTTAGCCTCGCAGTCTGTGCGTTTCTGCAGATTCCGCTGAATCTATCACCGTTTCACATTTCGACCCATTAATTGCAAAAATACTGAAATGGTCGTTTTCAACGATTAAGAAAAGCCATGGAAACAAACTAGCGCATAAATTCTCGACTAAGGTTATTGTACGCCGGGCAGCCTCGGAGCGCGATATCTACCGGTTGACGAGTGAGCCGCTTGGACGCATTCAAGTTTGGGTGCTAAGTGAGTTTGCAATCCGGACTACTTATACGATGAGAGGGGTTCTATTTCAGGCATCAGGTAATGCTGAGGCAACAGTGTAGTCTTTGTCGCAGCTGTTAGTCGCTTTGCTTTGTTTTCCGCCTCCACTTAAATAACGCTTTTACCCTGTTTTAGTCACCCACTTTTGCTTCGGGAGCCGTTCGTAATGGAGCCCCTCTGAATAGCTTCTGCGCGATTTTAAGAGTGTTGCGTGTAAAATAAGGGGGCGGGTGCGGGTTGTAGGAGACGTGATCACGTCCGCCACATTTCATGATTGACGCCTAGCATCCGAACGTGGTTCGTCCAATTCTGGGTTGGTGCACCTCTGTAGCGGGGACAGCGATGGGACTCAGGTGCTAACGTAGGGGGGAGGGGGCACGCGGCTCGCGGCGAGTGATGACTCATCGGCTCTTCACTCATTGACATACTTAGAGCGCTAATCTAGCAGCAAAATTAGAATAAAACAAACAAGATTCACCGAATACTTGCTGAGAAATCCCACAGAAGCTGAGAACAACAAATGTTTGATCTTTAGTGTAGTCAAGAATAACGGTCAACATCAAAAAGGCAACAATCGTTGGTAGTTTAGGCAAAATCTTCCATCCTACAACTGTTTCTTCGCACTTTTCAGCGTTAACTGCTTAAGCTTTCAAATATAGCTAGGACGGTGTTATCCATGTCTTAAACATGAGGTTACTTCTATTTTGCCGAGGAGGAAGCAGAAGAGTCGATGAGTCATCACTCGCCGCGAGCCGCGTGCCCCCCCCCCCCCCCCCCCCCCCCCCCCCCCCAGATACAGTCGTCATCCTTGCACTTGATAGTCAATGTCAGTGCGGCTGCGTGCGGCGCGGTCGTCAGCACCCGTACTGCACCAATCGTTGAACCAGAGAGTGACATTACTGTATTATATCCTTCGTGTTACTCGTTTTCTATCACTTTTTGTCGCATACGCGTTTCAACGAAAAGGCTGAGAAGGCTTCAAACAGTGTGCACGCCGACACGCCCCTATCAAGTGCAAGGATGACGACTGTACGTTAGCAGGGACTCACGCATATTTAACGACTTTAAAAGCTTAGGCATTTAAGATCCTGAAAAACAGTGAATTGTGAGCGAGTACTTGCCATTTTTTCTGAAGAAGATCTTATAGCACACGAAGCTCAGGGATAGTTCGATCCGGTCAAATCACTTTTGAAATGCATCATGCCGTCCACTTCTACTAAAAATCGTAAGGGCATTTTCATAGCAGTTCGGCCTATTCAAATTTGACAAGGACGACTGTCTGCATGGAAGACAGTGTTTTTATCCTTCTGTCCCGATCAGGGGCTTGTGGTTTGTGCGATCAGTGGTTTTTGAAGAGTTGGTTCTGTAAGATTTATTTCGAACCGAACTCGTGGCAATGCGCCCCGTATCAGCGGGCACCCCTTTTATAGGGCGCCAAGAGCTGATACGGGGGAGCAAATACAAGTCACAAAGAATAGAGTTCAAGCGTAACCAGGAGAGTCTAAACGAGTGCCCTAGATCAATCATTCACGTCGTGTCCGCCTTTCTTGAACCTTGGCATGGATTCAAAAAAGTTCCGATATGCTTCCAGGCTTTGAAAAAGGCGATATTACCGAAAATTCGAGCCGATTGAAACTTTCCACCATAGAAACCTGCTTTAACATGCAACAAATAACGCTACATTTCACTCGGTTCACATGCCAATCGTAGCCGCCGCATTCGAAGCTGGATCGTTAATTTATTGAAAGCATGAGAATTCGCAGTTGACAACAGTGGATCCACAGCCCACGTATATTCCTATTCTTAAAGGACAAGCTTTCACGAGAACTCTCCCTGCTCAGGCCGAGCTCAGAAATCCTCCGCAACATTAGGAGCTCATAGCACCACTTCTCTCGCAACTGTTTCAATAATCCGCACGCTTCACCTTCTCCCTCAGGCTGCGTTTATACTTTGCGGCAGCGTAGCGTAGCGCTTCCAGCGTACGCCAGCGGCAGTGCCGGGGAGAGGATGCATATCGATCTAGCGTTCCCAGCGTCACCAGCGTAACGCTAGCGTTACGACGCCAGCAGTTTTCCCAAAAACCTTCTTTTTTTTTTTTTGCTGGCGTTTGCAGCGACAGGGGAGTAGAGACAATGTGGCCGTAAGAGACGCGCAATCGATGTGTATTGTAGAGACTATGTGGCCGTAAGAGACGCGCAGTCCGTGCTGTATTAGAGCACCTAGTTAGGCCGTCACAAGACGCACAAACGCATGGTATAGTAGAGGGACTGAGGGCGACGTGAGAGTCGACGCCGCAATTCGATGTAATCTTTGTACGCTCCAGCTCTCCTATAGTCTCTACGGTCCCCTGCCGCTGCAAAGCGCTTTCTCGTAAACGCTGGAGACGGTGTTGGGAACGCTAGATCGATATTAGATCGTGTTTCCAGACAGTTTTCCCTGCTTTCTGTCGGCAATTGAAGCAGAGACTTCTTGGCACGCCTGATCTTTTTTCCTTGTCGTCACAACCTATGCACCCCACTCGCGCATCAGAGCACAAGGATTTTTTGCACTAAACGTGTCGTTTCATTCTGCGACTTACGTGGTATACAGACGTATGGCAGTGAGCATGGTTCCTCAACAAAGAACATACCATCCCGTATGAGTAGTAACGGTGTTCATGAAGGGTGTTGTTATAAAATCCCTGATGCGCTAGCAGGGATTATGCAGAATCCTTTACATGCTTCAATGTACTTCGATGAGTTTCTTCATCATTTCTCGCATTCATGGCAGCGTTGTTGCTGTCGTTTTGGAGGAAACTGTAGCCCACTAGCCCCGTACTACGATTTTGAGCGGGCCAGAATTGCAGCTTCAGCGATCGAAGCCCGTTTTTTCATACGTTTCCTACTGGCCTGGTTCGCCATCGTCTGCTCCATGACGTTTTATAAAGCGGAATCTTTTCTAAAGAGTGGGCTGCTCATACGGCGCGTGTAGTGACCGGAATCGCTTGGATCAAGAATAGAGTACAGCCTGATCCTGCCACTACTTAGCATACAATGTGTAGTTGGCCACAGCGCAGTGCAGCGGAATATGAATCGCTCAGTGAAAGAATAGATTTCTTTCCCATTACCTGCACCGAAATGCCTACCGATGAATGTTCCCCTTTTCAATTAGCATGCAATCCGCTCCCTGAAGTATGATTATTAGTAGGTACTATACTCCCTTGTTATCGTTCTCTCCTCAGTAACTTGAATGGTCAAAAGTAGAAGACTGGTTGAGCGCAATGAAGCCGCAGCGATTATTCAGGTATTTGCTGTTCTCTTCCTGAGTCTTTCTGATTTTTCAGCGCGAACTCACATAAACCGCCCCCCCTCGTCGACAACCACATTAATATAGTGGGATGAGTTCATTTCTACTGTTTACTCAAAGAAGTTGATGCGCCTAAGGGAAAATTTGCGACTATCTGAGCTCCAATTACTTGGCAGTACAGTGATAAGCGATGTAGTGAGAATGGCCCCTTATCATTTCTTATCATGATAAGATCGCCTGTCTGCCGTCATCAATGTCCCTTACCACTAAAACTATAATTTTGGTAGTGTAAAGGCTATAGGCACTTGACAGACAACTAACGGCAACGTTGCATTACCAGCTTATCCGCTCGTTATCGTCTCCTGTCACCTGCCGCGATATATGCTCTCATTCCCACTCTGCTATTCAACGTCTAGCCGTGATGCTCTCTATTCCGCCATTACTGAGTATGGTTGACCTTACCATCCTAACACCCCTTATCGAATCTTAGCAGGTGTTATTACTTTCTGTCACCCACCAAAAGTGTTCCCGTCCCTCCCACACCCTATATCATATCTTGGAACCAACGTCCCACTGTAGCTTTGTCCCGCACTCTGGACTCGGTGCCCTCCCCTTATCCGATCTTTATCAGGTGACATCACTTTCTATCACTCACCAAAAGTGTACCCGTCCTGCCATATTTATCACTTCTTACCATTAGAGATATAGATACTATAACATAACATAAACAGTTTAACAATAAGCATATATGGTATAGAATACTTCCTGGAGATAATCGTGCTTTCTCTTTCGTAATTAGATGTCCGTTTTGCTTACATTATCACACTCCAGCCTCTCTGTCATGTCTTCATATCGCAGATGAGTATGCTAGGAAGAGGGCGTCAACGTTGAACAACAGTTCTGTTGTAGCTGTGGTGATGTGCAGCCGAAGAGTGGCAATGAAGGAGTTTATCAGGTGGAAGCACAGGGAGAAGAATGAAGAATGAACTCACCATATAACTGAAAACCGACTCGATGTAAACATCACGAGGGATAACAATGATACTTCCTATGAACAGATAGTTCTCATTTCATACATTGTGAACCCTACAACAAGTCCAACTCAAAATACGAAGGACCCTTGTTGTTTTTCCGTTTGCAGCCTGGAGCTTTAAGGCGTCAATG